TTGATGTTTAAATCTAAATACTCAAAGCAAAAAGATTTCTCTCAAAATACCAATTATAGAAGAAAATTTTATTTATGAAGGAAATTTATCCTTGTTGGTCAGTTGTCCGTCTCCATCATTGTCTATTTTCCCATTGTTGTCCATTCCATGCAGTCATTTATGTTGTTAGCTTTATTTTGAATATTGTAAAAATGTAACAAAATGAAAATTTATTATTGCTACATTGAAACAATTAGCTGCTGATGATTTTAATCAAATAATTAGAGAAGGAAATTGAGAAAAACGGGAAAGAATAGAGGGGAAAAGATGACAGTGGATGGCGTAAAGGCTCGTCTTAATATTCACCAGTTATGCTATTGGCGACATTTGACCCACTCAAATTTAATTCTCGACAATCTTTTTTTTTAAATTTATTGAAAAAAAAAAATAAAATAAAATGGTTATTTTCAGGAAACCATTCCTTGCTCTGCCATTATCAACAGCTTTAAAAATATTTTATTTCTTTTGAGAATTCGATAAAAATTTAATTAATTCAAATTCTTCTTTTCTATAAATAAATATTGTTAAATTTGATTCAAAAGAAAGTTAATAAAATTGAAAAATCACCGAAATTAAATGAATAATTAAAATCATTTATTTGTTTCCAATATCCGTTCATTTATATATGAGAGAAGCAATTAATATTTTACAGGTTTCATTTATACCTTAAAGAAATCATAAAGTAATTGACGGTTAAATCCAATAAAAAAAAATAATATAATTATTTGGATAAATTTACGAAATTTCTCTTAATTGTTAAAAAATCTTTTTGATGTATAAATAATGATAATTAATTTAATATTTTCTTTTTTCCTTTTTCCCTTTCAATGCTTCTATCATTTTATATTATTTGAAATGAATTTATCATAGGTTAGTTGATGAAGCTTACATCCATCAACAATTCATACCAATATTAAAGCAATCACATTACCGTCACCGACACGATCATTATTAACATTGGCATTAGCATATAAATATATATAATGCTGGTAATAAGCAGATAAGCCTTTCTTTCTTTCATTCCAACAAAAATGCCAATTTCTTTTTTGTCTCTTTATTTCTTCCTTTCATTTCTTTTACATTTACTTTTTGGTGCATTTTTCTTTTTCATCATATTGGAAATTAAAAATGAAACGGATAACTTAAATATTAAACTTAAAATATTTTTGATATATTCAAAAATATTTAAATTCCAATGATATTTCTTGCAATTATTGTGGCACACCAAATTATACAAAACAATCGAATAATTTCTTATGTGAATAAATAAATAAATAAATAAATAAATAAATAAATAAATAAATAAATAATATAGGTAATGTTTACTTGTTTAATCTTTGTTTTTCAGAGAATATTCCCCTCAAATACTAATAATAATCTCCAAAAAGTTGGCCATTTTAAGTTTTTTATCAAAAAAAAAGAAAAACGAATTAAAAGATATTTAATTTTATTTTGTTTTTGTACATCCAATGAAATAGCCTTAAAATTTATAATAATTTAATCATACCAAATTATTATTTTAATTAAAGTTTTACCAATCAATGATTCATAGCATCAAGAAAATTTGTCAGACTTTTGTAAATCCATTTTTTTTTAATTCTCAAATTTGTTGTCCAATACATTCAACGATTAAACTTTTAACAAACTGTCATTACCAATGATTAATCGTTTATCATTACACTTTTTTTTAATTCTTACAATCATTTAAAATCTTCCATTTTTGACTGACTTAAAGGAAAGCGAAGATAGTAATAATTACGGACGAGTAGTCTAAACGGATACCGGATCTATTCCAATCTTTTCCAATTCTTTTCCTTTCTTTCATTGCATTTTTCTCTTTAATGTTTTAATGTTTTATCTGTTTTATCTTTAATGTTTAATGTTTTATCTTTAATGTTTAATGTTTTATCTTTAATGTTTAATGGTTTATCTTTAATGTTTAATGTTTTATCTTTAATGTTTTATTAATTTCATCGAAAATATAATCTTCACATATCTTCAAATGACAATTATGCAAAATATTTCGAAATTAAAAACTTTTCCTTTTTATAATAAATTTAAAAGATTAGAATAATTAAATGAATTTTATTTGTGCTTCTGCTTCTCTTTTGCATTATTTGTCATCTTTTTCGATCAATTAATTATTGATTATTTAATTTCTAACGAATATTCATATTTTCGAGAATACAATTGGCATTTCTTCTTTTTGAAAATTTATGTTTTATATTTATGGTATCTTCATTGTAAAATTTTTCATAGCCGACGATAACAGTAACAAATTCGTAACCTTACATAGTAATCATTCGTGCTGTTTTTACTTGAACCGTTAATGCAAGACAATTCTGTCAATTGTTTTCGAAAAAATTGAAATATTTATCAAAAAAAAAAGATTGTTTCTAAATGAATGATCAATTAATTGTTCGTACATAGAATAGATTCCACAGACGGATGGAATAATTCGATTTCTATCAATTTATTTTCACTCTAAATAATATTAGCAAAAGACAATAATCTCTCTATCATGATTTGTCATTTCCATTTTGCTAACCTTTCTATATAACCTTGCGTAATTAGAATAAACTGCTGTAAAAATTATTTTAATATTCTATTCAATTTTTATAGGGAAAGAAAAGATTATGTACCGGACAGTAATGATTTTCGGTCATTTAAAAAATACTTATGGTTAAGAAATGATTTTTAAGCAGATAATTTTAAATTTCATCATATCTGTAATATATTTTTCAATGCGGCAAATTGAATGGATAAAAAATTTGCTTTCTTCTAAAATACGCTTACATTATTTATTACCTTCCATTTTTATCGTTAATTTTTAAATTTCAAAAATCTCCTATCAGTATTAATCGTATTAATCTTGGATTTTTTTAAAAAGCAGAAAAATTATTCGTAAATTTCTTTTCTTCGTATTTACAGAATACACTTAGAGAGAGAGAGAGAGAGAGGGAGAGAGAGAGCGAGAAAAAAAAAGATGTATAATATGTTAACACTATTGCATCGAGAATTTAATGAGGTGGAAAGAAATGATGGCTTATCGATATATCGTCGGAAAAGAGTCTTTTGGGGATTCATGTAAAAGAATCTCAAACGATGTGTTACTTTTGTCAGATAGAAGTGGACGAAGAAGTTAATTCTTTCTTTGCTTTCATTCCTCTTTTCCTCGTCCTCGAAATTTCTCTCTCTCTCTTAAAGGCTAATTTTTCCTTACTGGATGATTTCATTTCTCTTCATTCTGTTATTTCGATTATCTCTTTATAATAGTTGGCAACAAAATGAGTAGTGAAATATTTCCCTCATTTATTGCTGCAAGAAAAAAATGGTTGTAGAAGAGAAGGATAGTGAAAATTATAAAATAAAAGAGAATGAATATAAAAGATAGGGAAGGCACTTTTCGGGAAAAGTCGGGGACGGTGGATGATGAAAAAGGAAAGGCTATTATCGTATGCAGTTTATTGTGGTACTACTATATACTTTACTAGTAGTTACTATTATCATCACTGTTGCTGTTGCTGCTACAACTACTATTACTACTACTACTACTACTACTACTACTATTGCTGTTGTTGTGTTCTTAATGCTCTCTTTATTGAGTTCCTTTGATGGTGCCGACAAAAAAGATTTTTGAATATTTGATAGAAAATTTTCATCTTATTTTATTTACACACTTAGAAATTTGATTTTCAATATTCAAAATTTTAATTTGAAATGTTTGTTATTTATATTAGCTTTCACGAAATATTTGTTCTTAAATATTCTTTCATTCATTTAGAGAGGATTTGAAGTCTCCACGTTATTGTTTGTATTAGATGGAAATGATTATGAAGAATTGTAATATGGAATATTTTATTTATGAATTTTTATAATTAAGTTTCCTGAGAAGTGCTGTAAAGTGTAATTCACTTAATGTGTCCATTCGAATAAATTTCGTTTGATAATTTGTCATTTAAATATTTTGTTTTTAAATTTAAATTTCATTTTTGTCGGCTGATTTACAAGTGCAAAAATTTTGGATTGGTAACAATCGATGTCCTTCTCCCAAATGTTTTCTATCTTTTAAGTCACTTTTTTATTATCAATAATGTATCATACTATTTTATTAATTTAAAAATTTTTTTTAAGAGAAAAAAATGAATGAAATAAACTCATGCAATAATCTATTGATAAAACTTAATATTCTATTTGTCTTAATTTATCCTTTATTAAATTTACCTTTTTAAATGTTTAAAGCTTTTTCCTATTATTTTGAATACAAAATGATGTCATTTCAATTTTTTTCTTTATGTATTTTGTCACTCCATTGGTAAACACATATTAATTAATTAATTAATTAATTAATAGAAAATTAATTTATCAGCAAAAATAACAACTGAAAAAAAATTCAGCAATAAAATAAAAGTAAGACAGACTACAACGGTTGTTTTTTTAAGCAAATAGATTGCTTTTCATTTAAATATGAGAAGTTTGTGCTCTTTTTTCCTTTTACATGAATCATTCAAAGGTACATTTTGTTTGGTAAAGATTAAAAATGAAATTTGAAATTTTAAAGGTAATTAATTAGTTGACAGAGAAGTTTCCCATTTATCATTTATGATTATCATATGTGTGAAATGCTTTTTGTTTGCTTTAAATATTTGTCAATTTTGAAGGAGCAAAATGCTTGCAACTTTTATTAAATCATTAAAATGAAATAATAGAATGAATTGAGATTGTAGAGAAATACCGTAATTGCCAAATGAGAAATCTTAAAGTAAAAAGTGATTGCTATAATTAATTCATGCATAATTATTACTTTTTTAATCATTAGCCAGCTAAGACTTACTAAATTTGCTATGAATTTGAATTTTATTCTTTACAGTAAGTAGATTCTATAGAAAAAATGCATATCGATGTTTTCATAAGATCTTTTATTAAAACATGAAAGGAAAGAGAAGAAGAAACTTTTTTAGATGCTTGAAAGATGTCAACATTATCCGGGCTCCATGAATCATTCTGCTAAATTAATTCGAAATACCTGTGAATTATCGGTGAAAATTATGCTTCAACTAATTTCTTGGAGTAAAAATCGTCCGAAAATAACGAATGAGAATCATAGTTTCATTGAAAATATGCCAAATGAATTATTAGTAAAAATTTTCCAATATTGTGATGATACTGATTTTGCAAATTTGCGTTTGCAGTGCACTCGGTTCGATCAGGTAACTATTTTTCCTGGGAATAGGAGGGAAGAGTAATATCCAAAATTTGCAAACCACTTAAAAATTTTTGGATAGTTATTTATGCGATATGTAAAAATTAATTACATATAGATTTACCTTAGTTAGAAAAACAATGGACGATTTTGGAATTTTATTTATTGCTTTATGAATTCTATTAAGAAAATTTTTAATTTTTAACAATTTTTGGTAATTATGCTAGGCCTTCTTTTGTTTTCTGATAATAATCCTGAAATTTTATTTAGAAGATTATTTCAGTTAATAACAACATGCGGCGTTTTGCTAACAAAACGTTACCGTCAACGTCTAGTGACGTGTTTGACAATAACGTATAATACAAGCAATGACGCATTTGTACTGGCAACATTCAAGAAAAGCCATTCAAATAGGAAAAATTCAATTGAAATCTCACGTACAGATGTCTTACGTGGATGTTATCATAATCTCAGGTATATAGGAATTAATTGTGTAAAATAATTACAAAGAAACAATATGCCTTTTTTCTATGCATCATTAAGTAGTACTTTGTTTGAAGAGGGTTCTATTTGCTTTGCGATGATGTTTGAAACGAGCTTGCAATTTAAATTTGACCAACCTTGGGGAAATCACGGCAAAGTCAAGTCCCGATTATCTGATTTAAGGTTTCAAGTAAAGGATTATTTGCTTTTCACCTGCAACAAACGTAACAAACGTGGAATGCATTAAAATACTTAAAAGAAAGAAAACCCCTCGTGATTTTTATGAATAATTTATCTAAAATGAGTTTTACTGCAAGCAAGTAGTGTATTACCTATTTTAGATAACTTTATCTTCAATTATTTTTCTTAAATTATTAAATATTTGAAATTAATTTCAGTTAAATACTTTAAAGAAAAGTAATTTTCTTTCTGAGGTATTATATTTTTTCAGGTATTGCTTTCGTCGATTCCGCGTTCTAGGCTTGCAATTTTCCAATCTTTTTCTCTGTTCACGTACATTACGTTATTTCTGTGACTTACTATCCTGTTGTTCGGCTTTAGAACCCAAAACACTTCGGTTATGTGATTGTTATGTAGCTGATCTACAGCATGATGCGCTAATGCGTTTGATGAATTTATGTTCTAAATATCTTATTGTCCTATCTTTTATAGTAAGTTAGTTTTTTCAATCATAGTTTTCAAAAATATTGCGAATTTTTTTGAATATAAAAATAAAATATGATGGATTATTATATAACATAAATTAAAGTTGAAGAAAAATTTCAACCAGGTTTATTAAATATGACTAAAATTATGAAATTAATTGAATTTAAGATTTAATAAACTATTTTTAAAATTACAAAATGAAAGTTATGATTTCAAAAATAGTTGATTAGATTTGAAATTTAATTGACCGGTTAAAGTTAAAATTATAAAAAAAGTTTTTCTCTCATCTATTTTTGGTTATAATAAAAATGAAACTTTTGTGGAACAACGTTTATCATCCAAATCATTTAGAACTTTTCTGTTTTCCAATATAATATATATACTGCTTTGAGTGAGAATGGATTTCGTTCAGGTCAATTCACCTCTTAGCTGATCGGATCAATTTATCATTTAGCTGGTCGGATCACTAAACCTTCAATAATATATGTAGTAGAATTTGTGATGGTCGTTTAAAGTTTAGAAAAATTTATACCTGTATCCTACCTTATCTTACTTACCTTGTCGTACTTTATTTCAATGTGTAATTGATACTATATATTTAGATTAAATTCAAATAGTAAAATTTTTTAAAACGAAAAAGAAAAAGAAATTAAATGAAAATTTTGAAGAATTTTGGTAAATCATTTCAGAATTTGGCCGGTGTTCGGCCATCGTTATTCCAAGATGATCTATTTCAAACAATTAATAGGAAAACATTGTATGTTTTAATGATTCAATCGATCGATTTTCACATTTCGGTACCAATTATCGAACAAGAACTTCCTCTCAGTGATTCCATTCTTCTTTGCTTGCCAAATACTATGCGCAAAATTAAACTTGAAAAATGTCAAAATATTACCGCTGAAGGTATTTGTGATTATGTTGAGGTTGGTTGATAATTTTTTTCATATAATATCAAAATTTGAGTGAAATTTTCAAAAATTAGTAGAACATGTAATTATTTAAAGTATTTGGAAATTAAAAGATTCTGCCAAATATTTTTTCCCGTTTTACTGTTTTGATTCATTCTGAAAAATAATTTTCTTAATTGAAACAAATGTAAGATTTTATAGTGGAAAAATAAATTTTTTTAATCTTACTTTCAGAGGTACTTCAATAGTAATGAGTATATTGTTAAACCTCACCATCGTTCAACGGAAATGGTTTTCCGGCAATGCAAACAGCTAACAACTGCAGCATTTGAAAAAGTTGCGCAACTTCGACATATTTATATCGAAGGACAGGATCCGGATGATGAATATATCATGAATTGGGTCAAACGAAGACAATACCATTTACGGCACACCAATCACAAAAAAGTTTTCACATATAAAATCTTTTCATTCCTTTTGATTGAAATTGAAATATTTAAATTTCCAATATACTAATCAATTTTTACGAACTTTTACTATTTTATCTGACAGCATTTAGACTAACGAAGCCTTTTGCTCCATTCAATTTATAAATTATTTCATCTTTTTATATCATTTTTTTCATTCCTCATTAACGTAGGAATAGAATAATTCTAAAGTTTAACAATAGAAGTGTAGGAGAATAAGAAGGAAAAATGGAACATTTCATTTGCTTATTAAGAATAACGTTGTAATGATATTATAGTATGAAAGCAAGGATTTATCTGAATTTAAGAAATATTGAATGAACTTAGGCATAATTAACTCATTAAATTTGTAAATAATTTCAGCTAATAGCTATTGAAATTGATAGTCATCAACTTATCACACGAAGTGGACTTTCATCATCGGCAATAAACGAAGAATTAACACGGAATTCGATGCATTCTGTACCATTTATTAACATTTGTCACTTACATTCATCTACTGCTGAACGAATTTTAACACCAGCCATAAATTCTGCTCGAATGACCAGAAAATGGAACCATGAACAGGATTGTATTATGGTAAGAACGAATAAACGATATCCAAAAGCATTAAAAGATTCATCCATTTTCTTACAACCAATTATTAAAACAGCTAGCATTATTCGTAGGGTAAGTTATAAAAACCACATTCCTAATCGTTTTTCATTTCCACAATGATTCATTTCACGAATAAAGAAAACTTATTGAAAAATCGGAAATTCACTCTTATTTTAGCTGGACGCATATATCATATTTTTAATTTGTAAACTTTCTGCATTTGCATTCACAATAAGCATTATTTTATTAATTATTCAGATTCTATTTCTGTATTCGTTCATCCTTGATCTCATCAGTTCTGCTTCTCTCTTTTCATTGATGGTTTTCAATAAAATTTGTTATTTATAGTTATTGTCCCTCTATTGCATAGTAATCAACTAAATTTCACCGAACATTATGAAAGAGATAATTGCATAGTCTAATACATTGTTTTCAAATTTTCTCTATCTTATCCTATCCATTTCTACAAATGATCAATAAATTTCACAAGTTTGAAATTTCACTCAAAATTATGAAAAAGATAATTCAAAAATTTTCGGCACTTTTTCTTCGCTTTTTTTCTGTTACTTAATGAAAGGAACAAAATTACAATTAATTTCTCAATTCTGTAATCTCACTAAAATTTGCCGAAAAAATTTCAAATTTTAATAATTGATTGAAAAGGACAATTTTAGATCATCAAAATAGAAACATGCGAATTTATAATCTTCCGAATTGAAAAAGAATCTTGAGTACTTGTTAACTGGCAATCAGTAAATTAGTTTACAAATGGAATTATCAAATTATAATTCCTTTATATCCTTTACCCATTATTATATCAAATAATTGAACAGTTATGTTTGAGTGGAAAAAGTGAAGATGGAATTCGATGTTATAGAAGAAAATGAAACACTTAATAGGTAGGAATTTTATTGAAGAAGAATAACCTAAATTTTCTTTTTTGATTGTAAAATAAAAAATGAATTTACTTATCTAAATTGCAAAAGAATTGAAATGGAAACGAATTATTCATCCATGGATAGAACTTTCAAAATTGATGAATGATAGTTATATTTTTCGTTTTAAGCAAAGAGGAAAAAAACAAGTAATAATGCTTAAATTAGGATAATGGCATTAGAAATTCGATTACCATTTCATATGAGATGCGATAAACTTACCTTGCACTAAGCCTAGCTTATTTATATATATATAAGCTTATTCATTAACTTTCGTATGATAAACTCCAAGATGTTATGATTAATGCTTTTGTACTTTTTCACCAACGTAATATGAATGAGTCAAAAATTAAAGCACTGCCTCAGTTTTTATTGTCTAACTAATTTAATTTCATTAATTTCAAGTGTAATGAAATGATCTAAAGAGTTCTTCACATCCTTATTTATTAAATAATTTAACAAGAATTGTAATGAAAAATAATATTTCTTGCAGGTTTATAAACAAGTTATCACTTATTTTTAAGAAATTATTCAATAAATTTTTAAGTAAATTTTTTCTTATTCAATTTAAAAACTTAAAATGGTTTCAACAACAATACATACATATGCGTCCGTGCATATCCATTATGTATGTATGTACGTATTAATGGCAAATTAAATTTTAAAACTGTTGCGAAGTGCAAATTTCAAAATAAAAATTCTGAAATGTTGCGAAGTTTAAGCATGATATTATATCTCTCTTCGAATAAGAAGTGTTGATTATATCTTCCTTTAAATATATTTATTGTCAAATTTACAATAAGGAAGAAATTATACGATTCAAACTTGAAATATTTTAATCGGACATGTAAACGATGCGGAGCAAACCAAAATACTATAACAGTGACATATCATATACTGATTGATAACTGTTGTAGGAGATAATTAACTGATATGAGAGGCTATTATAATTATGATAATTGAAGGAGGATGGTCCCGCTTATTGTAATACTTTTATGTGATCAGTACAAAGCGTAAGATTCCTTTCGGGATCTTATTACAATTCGCTTGAAATTTTCTTCTGAGATTTCGAATTATATATTCCATAAAATTACAAATTTCTAAAAACCACGTATCACGATCATCAAAGTTGATTTTGGACGCAGTTCCTCTCCAGAATTTGCACCTTTCATGAAAATATGAACACTTATTTGCCACTCCTGCTCCGGAAAATCGGAATTGATTCGCCATTGTAACCAGACTGTATTAATAATTTTGTAATACCAAATGATATTATTATTGAATAATAAAGAAATCATGAATATAGATTTATTATGATAAGCAATTATAATGGTTTCACATAATACATACAGTCAAAATAACGATTACATACATTTCATATATTTAAATTTATATCAGGACTAACGGTTTCAAGTACGTTTTGCGGTGATCAATCATCATTGTTACTAATTGCGACGATTATTACAGACATAATGGCTGTATTATCTTACTGAGACGAAAAAGAAGAGAACATAAATAGAACAAGCAAGAAAGAGATGACCTTATAATGATTTGGAAAGAAAAATTATACATAAGTTACTATCACCAAAGAAAAAAGATATTGTAAGAAAAGGAAGTTTCGATGATCGCTAAAAAACCCATGTGCAGATTTTAATGGAAGTCATAAGTCAGAAAATCCAATGGTCATTTAAATGAAGTGTGAGGAAGCACGAACGCATTATACCGACATATGTAGCTAGAGGTAGAGAAAGTGAAACTGAATCCTATAAGTGAAGGTATGAATTGTTTTATCAATTGATAAGACGAGATCTATGAAAAAGATCATATGGGTTTAATTAAATTAGGAACTATCCAAGAATGAGTGAATATGATGTCGTCAAATTAGTACATCTATCAAGAATTCGTCAACATCCTTTATTTTCTTTAAATTTAAACTAGTAAGAAATTCGACACATTAAATTTTAATACCAGATCTAGATATTGGAAAAAACTTGAATTTCATAAAAGTAAGTGTATTTGGTGAATATTGAGTGTTAAGATATAAGTTAATCTTTATACAGCGGGTCCAGTTTTGTTTCAGAAGATTTAAATTAGCCCTGGAAGATAGCTTTCGGCAATCAGAATTTCTCCAAGACAGAATGAATATCCAGCAAAAAGACTGTAATAACCGGTCGATTCATTAGCGTCTTGAAGAACATCATCCTGAAAAATGCCATCATCAAAATGTCGAAAATTTTATGATTTTAGTTTGTCTGACTTTAGAACATTGTCAAATTAGCAACGGTTACACTCGTAAGGATCATTTGCGACATAATTACTTATAGCGCACGACCGACGTTTCTATTCACGGATTTATAACGTTGTTGTCTTTTCCACCTATTCGAAAAGAGAACACAAAAAAATTTAGAAATAAAACAATAGTAATATCTGGATTTGTGAAACAAATTATACTACTCATTCTTCTGAAGTTTATACTTCTAAGCAATACTTTATGCGATATCACTTGACTGTTATCATCTGTAAATGAAAGCGAGCCGGATGGTGTCTCAGGCGGTGATGGCAGTACCGTCGAAAAATCAATTGGACCAGCTGCAAAAAAGGTCAATTTTATTGAAAACAAAAGAAATTTGCTGGGATTAAAAAGTTAAATGTTTTTTTGTACAAAATACTAAAAATTAAAAAAATCAAACCAAAGAATTCGGAATCGAATTGATAATAACTCCTGGATTCAAATGTATCATCACTACTAACAGAATAATGCAACTGAAATTTACTTAACTTACTGCCAAATAATATCACTTTTAAACAACGTATTATCTCTAATGAACTTTACACTCGCCGTTAAGGATAAAAAAAACTTCTACGTTTTCTAGAGAATATACTGTAGAATGATGTGTTAAAGGAGATATGTTGGTTATTATTTAATTTTTCATTAAAAGTTAAAAGGTGACTTAACAATGGTCCTGAATTGCGCTCTAAAAATTTTCATCAAATTTTCAAACTTTTCAATTATCATTTTTCAAATTTCAAGTTTCAGGCGACAGAATGTAAAATTTGACAGCTTACTGAATATTGTAAATCCTCTGATGGGAGCGAAATAGTTGAAGTATTTATCGGCAAGTCCACAGAATCGAATAATTGATGAGTTTGAGGAGCATCAAAGTTTTGCATTTGTAAATCTCGAAGTGCCGCACAAAAGGATAATGATCGCATAGCAACATCTTCGGCCTTAGGGAACTAAAACAAAATTTCTATACAGAAATTTCATGAACACTTTTTACTTCGCAAATTATGGATATCCCATCACATTCCGCCTGAATTTTAGTTCATAAACCATAGAACTATGTTAATAACCACGCAATAAAGAGCACAATCTAAATTACAGAAACATTTTCACTTTTTAAACCCATAAATTCATGCTTTTATTGCAAACTGCCTCCTAGTTTTAATTCTAATTTTCCTCTTTTTACCTCATTAAGTACATGCTTTGTAAATATTTGCAGAGATGAAAAAAACTATCCATTAAAATTTGAATGAAAATTTTTGACATCTCAAATCACTCAGGCTTATGGAAATTGTACCTCGAATATCAAAAGAATAGAAACAAAGCAAAATACTTGACTGATAACACTTACTTGACTTTCATTGAATATAAATTCTCTATCATTATGTTTCATTAAGGTGGCTTCCGCATATGAAATCTTCTCATTAACCTTTTTTGAAATAAATGTTTTTTCCATAGCAGGTGTGTGTGTAGCCGGCTTCTTCTGGGTCCATCCTAAAAATTGCACAACAAAAGGTGCAAAGCTCTAAAACTCTAAAAAATTAACTTTTACAAGAGTAATAAGGAGTATCAGATCATTTATGCAGTACAATAGCGTTGCCGGTCAAATCGATTATGATAGGCTCCGAATAAAAGTTCACAAGATCAATTGAATAAAATTACCATCAGCATTTAGAATAAGCAACGGTAATTCTCTTTCTGCTTTCGATCAGAAAAAAAACGAATGATAAATCCCGATGAATTGGAAAAGAATATGTATGTGCGATCAGAAATTCTAGTTGATTTTTGTCCCTATCTCTAATCTCTGAAGTAACAAACATACTACACACCGTATTCGCTTTTTGTATTTCTTGTTTCTGGATCGCATTTCCCTCTATGGAATGTATGTAATGTTGTGCGGCGCTAAAGTAATGAAATATAATAAAAAGCTTGAAAATAATAAAAAATTTCTGAAAAAAGAAATAAAATGTGATAAACAAATACGTTAGCAGGAAAGAATCTAACAAAGAAAATTTTCAAAATTCATAAAACTACAACTACAGTCATATCAAATTGATCTGTCTGATGACAAGGAATTTCTACAATATAACTCGCCAAAAGACAATAAAGGAGAGACAAAATGTTCTCTTCTACATCATTCTTTTCGACAACAACGAATAACAAACCTCGCTATCATGGCTGTATTTCGCTACTGACGATGATGCTGAAAGAGAGCTATCACTGGGTGAAATCGAACGAAAGAAGGTGCTTCGTTCCTTGCTAAAAACGTGACACAACATCCATAAGATGAAACCCATTAAAAAAATTCGTTGTGAAGAAATACAATTTCCCTATTGTCAGTATGAACGAACAAAATTACTATTCCAAAAAGTTACAGTTATTGAAAAAGTATTTCTCCTATATTCGAATCATCTATTTGCTTTATTTTTTATCATATAATAGTGACCAACTTCCCATTTTTGGTACAATGCTTATCGTTTTGAGTTGTTGCTACATTTGCTGAGCCAAAATTTAATCGTGGGAGATTTTTCCTTCCTTTTTTGGTTTTTGGCAGTGCTGTCGGTAATGGAGTTGCATTTCGATTGGCTACAAATGTGCCCATTATTATTTTTAGGTAAATGCTCAAAATTTCTTGATTCGTTAATATCCTAACAAATCATTTCATACTACACCAGTGAAGCACATTTTACTGCATATCCAGGCTGCTTTTAGATATGCATGCAGGCATTTTACAGGGGGATTACTAATTGTCAATAATGTGGTGATTTGTTCTACATTAATATCTATGCCTGCAAAAATCTCATCATAGACGATAGATTCAAATATATCCAAAGATATATCACACACTAATCTTGAAAAAAGTTCAAATTCTATTTCGGAAAATCAAATTTAACTTTTCGAAATAAAATTTCTCAAACAAAAATAATAAACGTAATTCTGAAATCAATCAAAAATTTTTTTGACAATAGCTTGATGGTACAATAAATGACGCATTGTGATAAAAGAGGAAATGGATCCATATGTAAATTTCTAGCCAAAAGTGTCCATCATATCATAAAAAATTTCCACCTGACCTATAAATATCGCTGTTTGGTCAAGTCGCATAAGTCCTAAGCCACAAAGACAGCGACATTTTCGTTGGATCAGTGATAAACCTTTCTTATCCCATAAATTTGATCGTCTTTGTGCATTAGTCCATCCGCGAGCTGATCCTGAAGATTTTCAAATAAATATTTCAATAATTTCAAATAATCTCGATAGAGCTCTTGCAGTTTTAGCCTTCCAAATAATGATAACACAACTGATTATTATCACTTCACCTGTGTTGCTCATAATCTTGACGAGATTATCTTCTAATGCATGAAAACATTCCAGATGCATCAACTGATCCTGATATGAGCATTGTGTGTTGCTGCATTTCATTTTGATGCCTTCCTTAAACGAAGATGGCAAAGGCAATCCTGAAATTAATGAATATTAACAAATCCCAAGAAGACCAAAAATCCATAAAATTCATTTGATCTACAGATTTGACCAATAAATATAATTTTCGAAAAATGCACCATAAAGTTACTTCACAAAAGAAGTATACTAGTGAAATAAGAAAACATACCACGTAAACAACCGGATGATAATGGTATAGGACAGCCTAATTTACGGTTCGCATCATTGGTACCATTTGTTCGCCTTGATGAATCCATTATAACTGCGGCAAAATTTCTTAAATTAAAAAATACGGTTAATATACAAATTATTTTAAATCCATATTACAAAAGGGACTCAGTCAGAATTGTCGATGAAAAGCTTGCTTAAATTTGGAAAGTTAAAAGAAATGTCATATCGAATTTAACAATTTATAAGAAACGACAATATAGTTAATTGTCAGCTATTAAATATGAATGATATGAAGAAAACGAATCTACAATGAAAAGACGTTTATTTAGACGTAACTGCGTCTTGTGAAAACTAAAATACTTATCTCTTGTACTGATAGCTCCGCAAATTGCAAATCAAAACTTTCCTATGGAAAGTCCATCATCTAATATTTAATAATAATCAGCCAACATAAAAGAATCTACTTTATCCATCATTATATAACTGATTCACTGATAATAATTGATAATTCACACTAACATTATTATAAAACCACATCAAATTCACGACAGATTATTAGTACACTTTTTCATTAAATATTTTCTAGCACCTCCTATATACATCATTAAAAATCAAATTTCGAAATTTTAAATCTCATAAATTTCAAGAACAAAAAATGAAAAAGTTGCCGGAGGGAGTTGAAAACAGAAAAACTGAATATCACATTTAAATTGTTACAAAATTATTCCACCTATTCCATGAATATGAAGAAAGGAGGATTATCCACTAATATTATTGTTTATTCAAATTTCAAAATTAATTATTTAAAAAATATGCAAATTTTATTAATACTTCTAAAATTTCTTCCCCTTTTATGGTGAAATAATTCAAAAAAAAGGAAAAGAAGAACTAAAAGTTGAAAAAATTTGCGCATAAAACAATAAGCGTAGAAAGAATACTCTTTCTAATAAATATTATTTCACGAGTTTCACGTTCGATCACAATTTCATATAAAATTTCTCAATTGTGGGAAATTTTTTGTTTTGCAGAAAAAAACCGTTTGACCACTATCATATTAAAATGAGATGATATTTGAAGAAGTTCGGAAAACAAGATGAAAAGGAAAATTTGGAAATCTTTTTCAAGAATCCATTCTTATCCTCTTTCAATGCAAAAAATAAGAAATCTAAACTATGTGAAGGCATTGCAACTAATAATGGCTATACTGCAATTATCGTAAAGATGATGAAATATGCGAACGGACATATACCATTCCCGAAAGCTACCAAAAAAAAATATGCGAACAGACATTAACAAGGCTAGAGCAAAAGCGTAAGCGCATATAGTACAGCGTTAGCCTCCACAGAGAACTCCATTAAACCATTTATTCTTCTACCAACAGAGCTTCTCATCCATTTTTCTCATGATTCTTGGATTGATTACTGTCGCGTAAGATGCTAAATTACGCACTCACGTCTATTCATCACATTTGCAACCTCATTACACTTTTAATTATTCCAGTAGTTCACGTTATGTAGTGCCCTAAATAATGCTTATACGCAATTTCACGTTTCTTGACATTCTGGATTTCATATGAAATCTGTACTTAATTTCCTCGATAATCTGGATCTAATAGTTTCTTTGTGTGTAAGTGCCTAGTTATAAATATTGATCTTTGCTACATTTGAAGATCAGAATAAATATCATATACGTGACATATTTTTCGCCATCACTTGATAGGTTGATGTTAAATGTTAAACTTGACTTACTTCTCATCCTAGGCTAAACAACGATGTGAAACCCGTTTTTTTCTGCTTTAAGTTGAATTTCGTTAAATTATGCCATTTCGATAAGTCATATTTGTTCTTCTCTACTCTTACGCATTTCATCTTTACGTTATCAAAACATCATTCTAAATATACCACAGAGCTGCACAAGAGAAAATATCATAAAGGTTATTTCCACAATTCCGTTTTGAACTTTTTATATTTAACTAAACTATAATAATCGAATGCACAATTACCGCAACGTAAAAGACGTGAAGATCATAATAATCGTTAAGTTTATCTGAATTAATCGAGATAGCTGATTGATTAGGAGTAAAATAATTGAAAATTCTTCTGATCAAAATTGATACTTTTCATCTTAAATGGCATACTTTTATTTTGGACTGATATTTCAGTGCATCTCATCTTGTAACGTATATCAGTTTCCCAATAATCGGATGTCAAATCATTCCCTTGAACTTAATCATTTCATTTATTATTGATTTAATTATCTGGATTACGCCAGAAAGTTAACAGTTTATTTAGTGATATCTCATAAAATGCTGTCTGCTTTCCAATGCTTAATCGTTAAGCTTATTTGAATAAATCGAGATAACTGATTGATTAATTCAGATTAAGGTTAATTTACGATAGACAAACTTGAAACGATATCCCCAAAGAAATAGCGAACTTCTGTCTTTAATTGATCTTTTTTTAAATATCATTTTTGAGCAAAACTTATTGATGTTTCTTTTTTCGATATCTTTAACGGTATTTATTTTTCCCAATTAACGATCAGTAAATTGCTTGTTACGGAAATTATTGAAATTGTAAATCTCTTAATGGATTTCTTCTGGTTTTCATTCTTCTCAAACTATATTTAGCATCCATACCAAGCTCAAATCAATTCCCACTTCATTATATACTACTGCTATGCAATTTTCGAACATATAATTTGGTAAATATTCCGAAATTATTAATCTCACTGATTTTCTCAAGTCGAAGTAATATTATAATAATGACTTCGGAACTTACAAAATGAAAGTGTTAATACTATTGATATTATTATTTGCAATTTTAATAACTTCACATAATACTTTTATCCAAAAAAGAAAAAAAGAGATGGAAATATTTTCATATAAAACTAGCTTCAGAATTACATGGACATCTCCAGAATTTGTTTAGTTTGTTATTAATTAACTAAAAGAGATAGTTCAGTACAATAATACAATGTTAGATTTCGAAAAGATTTCGAGAAATTTCGGCATAAATCTTTAGACAAATCTCAAATTACATCAGCAATACAACGATGGAATTGACAAACAGAATTAAAAATAAACAAAACAGAATTAAAAAGTATTCAACTGATGTACTTTGGCGAAAATTTGCAATTTATGTTATATTTCTTAATGTGTATGCAAATTTGGAAAAAAAATTTTAATGTGATAAAGATTTTGGTGAACAACACATGATACTAATAGTCATTTGAAGTTTATTTTTGTTGAGGAGGTTTTAATCAATATCGAGTTCTGTAGGAAATCGTGTCTATAATTCACTATTTCTATAATGTACTATGATCTGAACATAGAACCTCGAACGTAAGAAAGAATAAAGTTAATTCATTGTAAATCTTGAAAAGCTGATGTCTGAAAGAGTGATTCACACATTCCTAGAGTATTCAGAATTATTTTTAATTAATCCACTAAAAAGTGTTACATCTCGACCATATTTTTATACGTTTATATTTTGACATCACGAAAATCGTTAAAGAAAACTGCTCCGTGATATCACGCTGATGATCAATCTTAGGGCTCACTTAAATTATATATTGAGCTTTCGCATAAGACGACTGAGTTAAAATTTTTCTTAATTTTATTTGTAATGTCATTAAGAGCTTTGTATATAGAGTTAACAGGAAAAAAAATATATTTATCTGATACATTTATAAACTAATCCGTAACTGGAATCCAGCAAAGAATCATATTCTTGCAGATTTTTGAAAATACACACTTAGAAGGACAATTGAGTATAAATAAACGAGTATTAGGCACAAGAATGTGACAGTCATTGGTTATACACCATTAGTTCATTATATATATCAATAAAATGAAGCTATATTATAGTTAAACCCCGAAAACTGACAAATAGCCGTTGCAAAAAATCAAAACATGGAAGTAGTTGTTGAGCATTAAGAGAAAAATGGCGATATTAGGTTAATGAGTCGTTTTAAAATCTAAAATTCACTAAATATTCATTTGAAAAAATCTATTTAGGATTATATGTAAATTTTAGAAAAGAGTCATATATTTATAATTATGCTGGCATCTAGAACTTTCTGAGGAAAATTAACGTATCATAATAATTACCTCACAAAAAATATTAAATTGCATTCTATACCGATATTCGTTAAATTAAAATAAAATCATCCTTAAAAGAAATAAAAGAAAGACAACATTACAATAAATATACACTTTTGCCAGCAGTAGTTCATCGGATTTGTTCTTCTGAATCAAACTGCTATCTAATTTTTCCATCGATTTGTCTAAAATGAGATTGAATTAAAACTTCTAAAGATTGTTAAATGAAATCTTCAACTTGAAAACTGTAATTTTACATTAATACTACCAATAAAAATTTCATCCCTCCCATATCTCCTATATATATATAAAACTAAATCTCTCGAAAACTCGAAATAAAAAACGTTACAATCAGGTTTTCAGTACAAAAACTATAGAAAAATTAATTACATACAGCATTACTCAAGGCGTTGACTGCTTTATAAGCTTCTGCCGTATGTGGTGTTAGCTTGGCTAGAAAGGCGCTCAGTCCAATTCGATCCTTTTGCGCTACCAAGCATTCGATTGTTACTTCAGATGCTTGTGGAAATTTGTTGGCGAGGCACTGACGTTCGCTTACATCCGGAATGGCACGCAAAAGTTTACATAAGATCTGTGAAAAAAAATCATACTAAAATAATTCTAAGAATAATCACGCCTTTAATTATATTTTAATTTTTAAAAGTTGCTTATAAGCTTATAAGCTAATTTTTTGCAAAATACTTTTCATAAAATCAATATGTCTCATTAGGAAGAAAAAGAATTTGGTAAATCCATTTTTTATAAAATAAATCAGTTTTTGAAGTTTTTGCAAAGGAAAAAACGGAGAAAATAAAAACTGCATACTTCTTTTGGTGGTTGCTCATCGCTTGAAATTATGGTAAATAAATGATGCCACGCAAAAGGACAATGAATTTTGACACCGCCCAACAATTTTTTGCTCATCAATACTCTTTCGATGTCATTCCATCTAGAACAGAATTTTCTGTCGCTCTATGTGTCACT